GACCAGATAGGTCAAGTCGCTAATCAACAATCAAAATGCTGGATGGTGCCCATGTGCTCAAATACCATAAAGCATTTAAATATGACTGTTCAGTGACTCATGGTGAAAGCAACACGAAAGACCAGATTTACCGATGTTTTAGTGCGATCTTTTGGCTTCGTTTCTCATGCGGAAAAAGGCATGGTTTTTTTAATCGGATTTAGAAAAATAAATAAACGTACCGTCCCAAATAAAAATGTACCGGGTGGAATATTTCTGTGGAAAAAATAAACGTACCGGTACGTTTATATTGGGACATTTAGCGTTGTGGGCCATCTCTCCTGAGCAGCGACATATTTTTAACTTCGCCTATTGCATGAACAGTGGATTACGTAAATAAACCAACACTTTCAATGAGTACATGCCGACCCAACTAAACTTGTTTATGGCTGTTTATGAACAGCGAGGACGCATCTCATAGAACAATAGCTGTGGAAATCATAAACAAATGTAAATGTTGCGGAAATCAAGCATGGCGATAATGATTTTGAGCGAGGCAGAGTCTGGCAAGCGTCTCAGAGCAGCATTGCGCCAACACCACCACGACCACGACGTTTGAATCCCGGTGAGAGCACTGCAAACCTCTTAAATCACGAGGTGAACTTTCAATTTACACAATACATAATCAGTTCCTACAACCATAATAAAGAGGCAGTTTTTCTGGCGAAACTTTCGCCAGGTTAGCAATAGTTTCTCACGATCACCAAACCCGAGACACAAACGGTAATACCATAACAAGCACAGTTTCTTACCTTTGAAATTGACGAGACACAATTTTGTCCATATAAGCGTTGCGCAAATAAAGATACAATTCCGGGATACAATATCCTCACAAAAATAACTGATTTCCACCGAGACGAGAACTTGCGTAAGCGTCATCAAAACTCTGATTAAACTCGGGTAATTTCGAGAAAAGTCGGATTTTGAAGGAAAAATGTTAAAAATCAAGGAAAAACACAGTGAAACTTTGAAAAAAATAACTTGATGTGCACAATAGCACCATCAATTTCTGTCTCTGTACCAACTCTGAACTGAATTGGATCACACATTGTGTGAGAAAAAGCTGGTAACATAAAAATGTGCACACACATTTGCACAGACACGACCCAAATTAATACAAAGTTAAACTACTCAACTTGCATTAAATTAGAGCACAAGTCACATTGGAGTGTAACCCCCCCCCCCCTTATTTCTAGAACAAAACTCTTAATTTATTGTTACAGAAACTGAATGTTTATAACTAAACAATAATTTCAATTAAGCATTGACAAAAAATTAAAAAAAAAACTTACCTTAAATTGTTCAGCTTTAAGACGTCCTTCGATGCACTGGTATGTTTCACGCATGTCACCAAACACCTCAGGAAGTTTTGTTTCAAAGAATTTTCTAAAGAACGATGCATTGGGTACCTTGGCACTAGAGTTATATAGAATATCAGAAACTAAAAATAATCTACCAATCTGTAAATGAAACATAAGCACATATGATACATTAACAGTAACAACAAGCCATGCATAGCACAGTCCCCGTTAGTTATCAAATTTAAGATATATAGTTTTGTTTATAGTTAATATACTTGGAACATAAACATGTCAGAAATATGGATCCAGAAAATGATGCTTGATTAAAATGATTGACATCTTGTGTCTGATTGTCAAACTAGTACTTGTCCATATTGAGAAATATTGATCTGGACCAGCATTAATTAAAACAAAATGGCCACCAGTCGGCCATTTTGAATACATCTATATATCTACAACATAATGTAAAACGAATATATAAAATTTGAACATAATCAGTCAAAGCATATCAGAGATATCGCTCTAGAAGCGCATTCATTCAAACAAAATGACTGCCAGTCAACCATTTTGAATCCGATCTGAAAAATATAATGCATCAGGAACTCATAATGTCCAACCTAATACCAAGTTTGAAAAAAATACATCCATAAATGCCAAGATCAAGTTCTGGAATGCGAGAAAAGCTTGATTTTTGATGATATTTAGCACAAAAACTGCTGCCATTTGGCCATTTTGAATCAGATAGTCAAACCAATATATCTATGTCATAATGTATAATGAATATATAAAATTTGAACATAATCAGTCAAAGCATGGCAGAGATATAGCACTAGAACTGCATTCATGAAAACAAAATGTCTGCCAGATGGCCATTTTGAATCTTATCTGAAAAACAAAATAACATGCATCAAGATCCCATAATGTCCGAAGTTTGAACAAAATCCATCTGTAAACAGCCGAGAAATGCATAATTTTGATGATTTTTCAGTACAAAGGTGGCCGCTGTTTGGCCATCTTGAATCAGATAATGAAACATGCATATGTACATATGTATAATATTATTATGATGTATGTGTGAAGTTGGATTGTGATTGGTCCAAGCATGTCTAAGATACAGGACAGACGGACACACAGAGGTCAATCAGTCCGAACGGGGTCTAAGAATGATGACGATATCCATTTACTGTGGAATACTTTATTTTCGCTGGAATTAATTTTCGCTGAAAAGGCTGTTTGGGCGCTTTGCTTGGAATTTATTTTCACTGATTTTTCATGAGTTTAATGTGAAATATAGGAAAAAAAGTATATTCGCTGGATTTTATTTTCACGGAATCATCCCTTCAGCGAAAATAGCGAAAATAAATTCCAAGCGAAAATAAAGTATTCTACAGTACCTTTGATTCAGACAAGGCCAAAATCCAATTAAGTGGTACAATATTTTTGCAGCTTGGAAAGGTAAGCCAATGACACACCATCATACAAAAAGCTTAGCACACCTTTAATCTCTGTGTTGTAGATGACTGCTTACCTTTTTTGGTACTGGTGTTTGTAGAATAGACAGTGATTCAGCAATACAATCCACAATCTCTTCAGCAGACTCAGCGTGATCCAAACAATATACCATGGTATCACCAATACAAACTCTTTCTGGTGTTATCTGACGTAACATATCTTCCAATTTGTCTCTTTGGCTATAATAACATATATGAAGAATTTAACATTATTTAACATCATGTCATGTAATACCACATGTTATGTAACACAACATTTCATATAATACTAAATAACATTATTTAACATCATGTCATGTAATACCACATGTTATGTAACACAACATTTCATATAATACTAAATAACATTATTTAACATCATGTCATGTAATACTACATGTTATGTAACACATTTTATATAATACTAAATAACGTTAGTTAACATCATGTCATGTAATACCACAAGTTATGTAGCCCATTTCATATAATATTAAATAACATTATTATACCACATGTTATGTAACACATTTTATATACTAAATAACATTAGTTAACATCATGCCATGTAATACTACATGTTATGTAACACATTTCATATAATACTAAATAACATTATTTAACACCATGTCATGTAATACCACATGTTATGTAACACACATTTCATATAATACTAAATAACATTATTTAATATCATGTCATGTAATACCACATGTTATGTAGCCCATTTCATATAATATTAAATAACATTATTTAACATCATGTCATGTAATACCACATGTTATGTAACACATTTCATATAATACTAAATAACATTATTTAACATGATGTCATGTAATACCACATGATATGTAACACAGTTCATATAATACTAAATAACATTATTAAACATCATGTCATGTAATACTACATGTTATGTAGCACAACATTTCATATAATACTAAATAACATTATTTAACATCATGTCATGTAATACCACATGTTATGTAACACAGTTCATATAATACTAAATAACATTATGTCATGTAATACTACATGTTATGTAGCACAACATTTCATATAATACTAAATAACATTATTTAACATCATGTCATGTAATACTACATGTTATGTAACACATTTTATATAATACTAAATAACATTAGTTAACATCATGTCATGTAATACCACATGTTATGTAACACAACATTTCATATAATACTAAATAACATTATTTAATATCATGTCATGTAATACTACATGTTATGTAGCACAACATTTCATATAATACTAAATAACATTATTTAACATCATGTCATGTAATACTACATGTTATGTAACACATTTTATA